AAGGGAGGGAAAAGGGGGGGTGGGAGGTTGGGAAGCCCCCGGTGGTTGGATGTGGGAGTCCTGGCAAGCAAGACTCCTGTTCCCAGCAGTGGGAAGGTCTGGGGCAGCCACTCACCGGGGGGCCCCGGAGGCCGAGTCCTCCTGGGAGCCCGCTGATTCCTGCCTCTCCCTGGGGGTAAAGAAGTGAGAGGTAGGAGTCTGCACCCAAGGGCTCCGGGAAGCCAGGGGAGTTTAGAACCCACTCCAGGACCCCCACATAGGGCCAATCTGCCCTCTCTGAAGAGACGGAGACTCTATGCGGGTGGTCCCCCACAGAAGCCCCACCCCAGCCCTGGTTGGGGACCTGGCAGCCAGGTTGGCTCTGGGGTGGTGCACATGCTTGGCTGGGGGCCATGAGGGTTGTTGGTACTCACAGGGGGTCCAGGGAGGCCTTTGCCCTGCAAAGCCAAGCATGGGGTCAGAGCTTGCTGGGGACAGAATGGATGTGCCCAGCACCCCACTCATCCCCCAGCCAACCCGATGGGTGTGCGGAAGAGCGCCTCAGGGAGTTTCGGTGCAGGAGAGCCCCCCACCCCCTGCCACCCTTCCACCTTGGGGAGGGAGGACCCAGCCCAGAGGGGCTGCAGAGGAGAGGGCCTGGGGACCTCCAGCTCCTCAGACTCCCACCAGGAGCAGAGAGAGTACTTACCCCAAGCCCCGGTGGCCCCGGGGGCCCCAGACTTCCCTGCGGAAGAAAATCAGGTATCAGGGTTGGTCTGGGCCCAGTTACCTCCTCCTCTGTAAACGTGTTCCCCTCCCTCCCAAATCCATCTTATGGCTTCTCTGAGGAGGGACCCCATTTTACAGAAGACTGGGAGGGGGGACCTCTGATACCCGAGTAGCCTGGGATTGTCCTTCAGGAAGCCCTCAGTTAACCAGCCTCAGAGGTCCCTGAGACCTCCACCTCGGCCCGCAGGAGGGAGCCCAGAACCTCGGGTATCCAGGCCCTGTGTGCCCACGTGGCCACACCAGTCCTATAGCCCAGCGTCCGGAAGACATAGTACTTGCCCTGAAGGCCACTCTCCTCCTGTGTCCCCACCCACCCGAGGCTCCCTGCAGAGCCTGGAGCTCACCTACCCCTCCCTCCATCCACCTGGGCACTAAAGGACCCACTGGCCACAGCTGCCACTCTTGCCCTTGTTCCCACACTCCTGCAACCAAGTCTACAAGGCAGGGCTGTGCTCTCGTGTCCCTCACATGGCCTCCTGGCCCTCTACATCCCAGGGCTGGGTGGACAGTCACTTTCACAAGGGGGAAGGGGACAGTCTCTTCCTGAAGAGGCCGGTCAGTCAGGGAGTGGGCTTCAGGAAATGATGGTCAGACTTAGGGCATGGTGTTGGTGACCATGGGCCTCTTGGGTGGGCAGAGGGACAGGAGTGGGGGTTCACCCACAGAGAAGGGCACAAGGGGTCAGTCACCCTCCAATCCTATCAGCCTCCCCAACACGGTCTGAATGCAGGACAACTCTGACTAGAGGTGGTTGTGGAATGGGGAGGGCACCACGGGGGCCTGTCCACGTGCCACCCTATGTCCCCCTGCCCTTCTGCACCCCCTGTAAGTTGGGGCCCCACCATCCCAGTCATGGCAGCTGCCCACAGAGCCTCCAGCCCCAAGGCCCTGTGGGCGGAGGGTGCTCAACTTGGCCACCCTGGCTCTGTCCTCTCCCCTGAGCTGAACTGAAGCTGCTTCGCATGGTGCTGGCACTTACCCGTTCTCCAGGGGCGCCCTTGGGTCCAGGCGGTCCTTCCCTACCGGTCAGACCCTGGGGAGGGAGGTGAAGAGCTTGAGGGGTCACAAAGAAAGGAAGTGCCCCCTCCTGTGTTCAGGGGACCAACAAGCCACGGGCCTTCCCTAACTAAACTGAGTCCAGAGGGGCCAAGAAGACCCTCAGCCTGGCGATTTCCTGTCCTGGCTGCCCACTGTCCACCTGGGCGTCCAGAGCCACTGGGGAGCCACGGAGGCAGCCAGTGGGAAGCCAGTGCTCGGAGCTCATGTTGGAGTTGGCAGGAGAGTCCGCTTCTCAGACCTGTCCAGTCCTCAGAAGCCCTGTGGTCTTGGGGCAAGGCCGTGGGCCCCTGATGCACGGCTGGGGCTCAAGAGGCCTGGGTAATGGGTGTTTGTTCCCAGATAAGCAAGAGCTGGTGGGACTTTCACCTATACTGCCAGACTGGGCTCTGGGATAAAGGCCAAGGGGACTCTGGTGGGACATCGGGACTCTGGCTGTCTTGTTTGAACAGGCCCAACTGGAGAGAAGCAATTAACCCTGACTCCTGTGCTGGGGAGGAAACCGCCAGGCCTGGAGGGGAATGGGGGCTCGGGGGTAAGGAGAGGGAGTTCATGGGAGGGGGCTCACAGGAGTGGGGAGGAGAGGGCGCCCTGGGCATACTCACATCCACGCCAGGCAGCCCCGGCAGCCCGGCCTCTCCTGGTTTCCCAGGCTTCCCTGCAGCCCCTTTCGGTCCCTATGGGGGAAGGGCCGAGGTGTGAGGAAGGGTCCAGCGGAGAGCCTGGGCCTTCATTAAGAAATCAAACGTTTTCCAGCCAGGTCACCACCCCGCAATCCAAGAGGGACTCCCGTCCACTGAGGCCCTGTGTCCTACAGATTTTACTCAGCTGGGGTCACCTGCCTGCCCCTCACTGGCCCCAGGAGGGCTTCCCTCTCCAGCTGCCCCCTACCTTGGTTACATCTGCAGGACATCACCTGGACACTTCAGCCTCCCCAGCCAAGGGCTGGCTGTTCCTCTGTGGGACCCCCAGTGAGCCCAGGACCCTCAATTCCTGGGCCTGCAAAGCTCTGTGAGGGCTCAATTGCGGGACCTCTGGAGGGCCACCCTGCAGGGCTGTGTTCCTGGCCTGCCCAGGCACTGGCCCAAGAAAGCGTCAAAGCCAGAACTTCCCCAAGGACTCGCAGAGTCCTACATACACTCCCACCTCCTTCCTGGCTCAGCCCCTGCTCAGCCTCTGAGGCCTCTCCTTGGTGACCCAGGGCCCAGTGTGGTGGGAAAGGGTGTCAATGACCCCTCTGTTTTAGGCCCATCCTCCCCTCCAGACTGAAAGGAGCCACCCTTCCCCCCACCACAGCCAGGACACTCACCGGGGGCCCAGGCAGACCCGGAGGACCAGCTTCTCCCTGTCAAGGGGGAGACACCTTTATGTGACCAAGGGTCCCCCAAAGACCCCGCCCCAGGGGAACAGCTGGGCCCCAGAGGCCCTGCCCCAGAAGACAAGATGGGAGCCCCTCACCCCCTCATCCACATCCAGGGGCACCTCCCCTCTAGGGCCAGGCATGGAGGCAAGCACTGGGGAGAAGGGTTAGCTGGACAGGCTGGGGCTCAGCCCTGATATGACCTACACAGCTTTTGGGGATCACTTTAAGGGCTCTGGGATACGACTCCCAGAAGTGAGGGGAATGCATCAGGAAGCCCTAGCCCTCCACTGGCCAGAAAAACGTCAGAAAGTGGTGTGGGTGACTGAGAGGCTTCCTGCCTCCACCTAGTCAGAGGGGGCAGCTCCAGACCTATAGAGGCCCAGGAAGGCAGCCCAGGGCTCCCCGCCACGGTCCCTAGGCCTAAAATCATTTAACCGAGTCTTCCAGGCCAGGTTTGACCTGAAAGTGTCCTCAGAAGGAATGATAGGTTTGGCCTGGGAGCCCTGGGGTGCCAGGTGCCCAGCCTGCTGGAAGAGGCATGGGGTCCAGGTTGAGGCGGAGGCTCAGGGCCACCTATGGCCAGGCAGGGCCTTGAGGACTCAGAGGAAGGCTGAGGACCGGTCATGGGGGCTTCACTTGTGGATAACATGGGTGAGGAGATGCTTTGGAAGGGGTCCTGCTTTTCGTGGAGGTGGCTGGATGCGGGGCCTTCACCCCAGATGGCCTTTGGGGGGCAGGCTGCAGGATTCCAGCTGCCTTCCTCTTGCTGGTCTGGGCACCTATTGGTGGTGAAGTGCAGGGCAAGGTGGCCCCCAGCAGCCCAACAAGACCCACGCAGAGGGCCCGGCTTTGTACCTCCATGCCAACCCCTAGAATACAGGAGCACAGGCCCCCCAGAGACCCAGACACACACCTCAGTGCCCACATTTTCAGTGCAAATACCATGCACTCTGGGGATGCGGTCCCCGTGGGGTGTGTCCCGAGTAGGAACAAGGATTGTCTCTGTCCCATTTCACACCCCCGAGGATGCTGGCTCGCCATGCGCTGTCACCCGGCCCTGGGAACGGGGATTCCCATTTTCTCTTCACCAGGCCTGGGCTTTGGGGAGGCTGGGGCTAGAGCTGGAACCCCACAGAACCCTCCCAGGCCCTTACCATGCCCCAAACTCACATCAATGCCATCCTTGCCAGGCTTCCCAGGTGGCCCTTGGGGACCAGGGGGGCCCCGAGGCCCCACTTTCTGAAATGGAGAAATGTTATTAGGCACTTGGGACACTTTCCCCCTCCCCCTCAAGATGGGTACCCTGTTGGCCCTCTGGTCAGCCTGACCCTTCTTCCTGGGTCCAGCAGCACTGGGGCCTGTCACAGGGCCCATGACCCTGGTTGGCCTCAGAGACAAACCCCCACCCTCCAGCCATGTCTGCTGCCTCATTTGTGCAGCCAGGAGGGGCTGTGCCCACTCCACAGGGAGCCTCGGGGAACAAAGGCCACATTGTGTGTCTTTGGTGGTGGCGGCAGCCCTGGCGGTGGCTGAACCCCAGCCTAGAGAGAACCAGGCAGCCTCCTGGGCTCATCCTGAGTGGGGGCTCAGCCTGGTGGCTGCGACAAGCCTGTCCTCATCCCAGGCTCATTCGATGTTTGACGGCTGGCCAGGGTGGCTGAGGTGGGGGGTCGTCCCCAGGTTGCACTGCTCAATGTCTGACATCAGAGCCCTAGACCCCCACCCCAGTTCACCAGTGCAAGCCCAGTTCTCCTGCAGCCCTGTGCTCACCTGTGCCTTGGTCACGGTCACGGTCACGGCCAGGAGCTGCCCGAGCAAGAGAAGGGCCAGAGTGAGGGCTCTGGCCATGGTTGCAAGAACTCTGAGTGGCTCGCTGGTGGCGGCAGCCAGGCTGAGGCTCTGAGGGTTGGGGCTTGGAGGGCGGGGCGGGCGTGGGCAGAGCGCCAGTTCCCGCCCCTCGGGCTGCGCACAAGCCCCCCATTCAGCAGGGCCCACCTGGGTGGGCGGGGGTTTGCATGTCGCCTGAGCCTCCCTCTCCAGCCGTGGGGAGGAAAAGGGGGAAGCAACCGGTGGCATTTTTTTGGTCAGCCTCTGAGTTAAAATTATCCTGGACTGGTGAGTTACACACATACACCTTTTAGCAAAAAAGAAAGACGCTCTTTTCTCCCCTGCTCCTCCCCCAGGGTGTGGAGACTCCCTCACTGAAGGGCTCCTTTGGGCAAGGGGCAGCTTTAGTCTGAGAAATGGGGCCCAGAAGCTGCCTACACTTGCCCCAGCCCTGAGTGGAATCCAGACTGCCCAAGACCCAGGAAGACCCTCTGAGAGGGTGAGGGTCCTGTCCCAGGGCCCAGACTGGCCCTCCACAGCCCGGTTCCTGCTATGGGCCCCACAATGGGCGAAAGTCTAGGGCCATGCCTGCTGGGCTGGGAACACCTCCCACCCCAGGGCCCTTACCCCAAACTTCATACTGGTCCATCCACATGAGCCACTGCTGGCAAAAACCAGACTGTCCCCTGGCACCCCTCACCCCAAGACTCTGGCAGAGGGGAAGGAGTCCTGGGGCCGGAGTGAAGCAGTGATGAGCAGGGACTCTAAGGCTGCAACAGGTGATCCATTTCTCACACGCCCTTGCCAGCTCAGGGGTCTCTGGATTTGGGCAAACTCTGATGATTCACCCTGGGAAGGGAAGGGGTAGCACCTGGGGCCAGGAGGCCTCCATGGCCACCCTAGGGGCCTCTCCAACATCCAGGTCACCTATAGGCCAACCCCCAGGAATCTGAACCTTCAGGGGTCATGGCACACCGTGTTGGCTTCATTTCCACAGGTGGGAACTCATGACTTTTGAGATTACTTGAATTTAAATGGGTGGATGAACCAGAAAGGGGAGCCTCAGGGAAGCACCTAGCTCCAAAGGACCTAGCTTGACTATTGGTCAGACGGCAGCTGGTCACACCCTCAAATGAGAGGGAGGGGTGTGAATTATAGCTGGAAGAGCCAAGAGGAGCTGGAAAAGTCTGAGCCATCCTAGAATGTCCTCAGAGACAGTAGCAGAGCTGGGGGAAAGCCACCCGCCCCCACCCAAGCCGAGGCAGAGTCTGAGGAGCAAGATTGGCCCCCCACCAGCTCCCCTCCTCAGTCCCTCCCACTTGGCCCCACAGCTCCCAGAGGACCAGCTGGCCATCGCCTCCATCCAGGAGCCACCTGGTATCTGGCATCCTATCCACCTCCCACAACAAACCCACCCCCAGCTCCCAGCAGACCCTTCCATCCTGCTGCTGGGAAACACCCTCCCTCTGGAGAGCTGCCTGTCTCCAAGCCCAAACAGCTGCAGTGGCCTGGGACTGGGGGACAGGGGCCAAAGCTTGGGGGTCAGTGTACTGGAGCTGCCTGCCTGTCCCTAGGTCCCCACTGCTGGGCACAGACCCTGCCCCCCAGTGGGGTTTCCTTCTGGTTTCAAGCTCCTCCCTCTGAACTTGAGCCCACCATGCTCTCGCCCAGGTACCCTGACCACTGGGGTCCACGACTCTGTTTGATGCCTCACACAGACATCAGGGTTCAGTTTCTGCTGTGGTGCAAATGGTGAAGGACATTTTCCTCTCCCACTCCAGCGCTGGTGAGTTAACTCAGGGTCTCTCTCTCCAAAATGACTTCCTTTCCCCCCTCCCCCAACCCCTCCCAAGACTGGAGCGAATCATGCTTTTCCTGAAAAGGAACCAGATCCACGCACTCTGCTCCCTCCTCCTCCCCCAGGAGAGTTGTGAGCTCATCACTTCATTTGTGCAATGGCAAGTGTGTGGCCCTTTGCACAGTGCCCTCATGACAGCATCGGCAAGGGAGGGCTCCAAGCCCGGTTGAGAGTTAACCCTTTCCTGTGGGGAAGGGTTGCTAGGAGGGGGTGCTCTGTACCCACAACAGGTTGGAGGGACTAAGGGGGTCCTGGGAGACTGTGCCTTGGGGCGGAGGGTCAACAGGGGCTGTGGCTGGCAGGGCAGGGACAGAGCCAGAGAACACTGCTGAGTTTGCTCCCAAAACACATCACTGAGCCCAGAATCGGGGCAGGCAAAGGCATGGTCTAGACCCTGGGCACACCTGAACTCTGCCCCCCGGCCCACTCAAGGGGACTATGTATGAGTTCCCAGACTTGCTTTTTTTTTTTAATCTTCACTCGAGGATATTTTTTCCATTGCTTTTCAGAGAGAGTGGAAGGGGGAGAGAAACGATGTGAGAGAGACATTGATTGGTTGCCTTTTGCACTTGCCCTGCCAGGGCCAGGGATTGAGCCTGCAAATGAGGTGTGTGCGCTTGACTGGAATCGGAAGGAACCTGAGACCCTTCGGTCCATGGACCAACGCTCTAACCACTGAGCCAAATTGGCTAGGGCCCCAGACTTACTCTTTTTTTTTTAAAGTTGGGAATTCTTTTTAAAAAATATATCTTTATTGATTTCAGAAAGAAAGGGAAAGAGAAACATCAATGATGAGAGTCATTGATCGGCTGCCTCCTGCATGCCCTGGACTGGGGATCAAGCCCTGACCAGGTATTGAACCCCGATTGCCTGGATCCTAGGTTGATGCTCAACTGCTGAGCCATGCCCAGCCGGGTCCCAGACTTACTCTTGAACTGATGACAAAAGGCAGTCAAGGAACCAACTGTCCAGCCCCAGGGGCTCTGGGAGACTATGTGGTCAGGGTGTGTTGGGCAGACCACGTGTGCCTGAGGGCTGCACCTCTGCTGTGTGTCCATATGAACTACATGTGGGCAAAGCCGTGCCACAGGCAGGCCAGAGTCCTGAGAGCAGCATCCCTCATGAAATCAGCCCCAACCCATTCTGGCCACCCACAGGACCACTGTCCATGCCAAAACACTCTAAGTAAAATGAGTTTATTCAGAAAAAGCCTTGGCACCAGACTAAGAAAGTGAGCCCCACTCCCACCCCCAGACCCTTAAGGGCCAATTTACAAAGACGAGGTCAACCGCATACAGAGGGAAGGAGGTAAGGAGGGAGGCAGCCGAGGAGGTCAGGTAAGGATTCTGGAGTCCTTGGCCTTCCCCCGGGGACCTGTGCTTCCAGCAGCTGCAGTGACCACCAGGGCGAGGCCAGCACTGCTGGGCGCTGGGAACACGGCTCCCGCAGCTCAGGGCCGGGCCCCTCCGCTGGGAGTTTGGGGTGTGGCAGCCAGCCCC